ACAGGCAGCCACTGTACACCCAACAAAGCACTCACGTGTGGAATACACAAACAACTCTCTAACTCAACTGTAGGAAAACAGTGTAATTAAAAAATGAAAAGGACACTTAAACATGCAAAAATTGAAACAAAAACTTAAGCAAGGTATAAGTATAGGGTGTAAACACATGAAAACATGTTCAGATCTCTAGACATCTGGAAAAAACATGAAAACCTGGTGAGGTAGCACCACAAATAGCTAACAGGAAATAGGAAGATAGATACTTTTCAAATGAGAAGTAGATGGAGATGGAAGGAGGTGGACAGAGGGGAGGAGGACAGAGAGGAGGCAGACAGAGGGGAGAGGGAGGAGTTGAAAAAATAATTAGAATGTGTTATGTACATGTGCCTGCTCCCTTCAAGGAGTGTGACCATTATGTACTGCAAACATGTACTAATAAAAATAATTGAAAAGAGACTCTGATAATGCCAAATGCTGAAAAGAACACAGAGCAACTGGATCTCTCACAGCTGCTGGTGAGAAGATAAAATGGCACCTCTGACTTCCACTCAGGAAGTCAGTCTGGCTGTATCCTAAGAAATGAAGCCTACGCTTTTCATAAAATCCAGCAATCACATACTTGGGCCTATGTCCTACAGAATTTAAAATCATATTCACTTAAAAATCTATATATAGATGTTCATAACGGTTTTACTTACAGTACCCCAAACTGGAAATAGCCCAAATTTCCTTCAAGAAGTGAACACAAAAACTCTGGTGTATATCCATCCATGGACTACTACTCAGCAATAAAAAAAAATGATCTACTAACTTGTACAACTTCAATGGCACTTAAGAGAATTATGTAGAATGAAAACTAGTCTTATAGGTTATAGTCTATATGCTTGCATTTACATAGCATCCTCAAAATGAGAAAATTATAAAGACGAAAAGCAGAGAAGTGATTGTCAGAGGTTAGGGGAGGGAAAACAAAGAAAGACCAAAGGAATTCCTTTGATGACAAAGCTTTTCTTTATCTGGACTTGCTCAAATCTATACATGTAGTAAAACGTTGTAGAATTACATCCACATGCACCCCCGATAAATTAATGGATATAAAAAAAACTGTTGAAATCTCCACAAGATTTCATTATGGCAATTAAGTTCCTGGTTTTGAGAATGTACTGTGATTATATAAGATGTCACCAGTGGGCAAATATGGGACCTTTTTGCAACTTCTTGTGAATCTAAAACCATTTCAAAAATAAAACATGTTTAAAAGCTTATGTAAGATTAATACAGTAGCATTGGCAGTAGGAGGGAGCCAGTTAGGCGAGAATGTGCGAAACGCCTTACGTTATTTGAGAGAATATCTGTATCAATTCCGAATACTTTAAAATAATTTTTAAAATGCAGCTAATAGCTGGGATAAGCTGAAATATAAAAAAGAGAGTAGAAACAATTATCAATAGTTACAACTAATATAAGCAGATTAAATATCAATTAAAATGAATAAACATTGTCAAAAGTGAGCTTTAAAAAAATATGTAAATACTACTTACAAGGGATACAACTACAAAATTAAGACAGGCCAAAGTTTAAAGTAAAATCAAAGAAAAATACACAAAGAAAAATTGTAAGCTTCGAACAAAATTTTGGAAGGCTGGCCTCAGTATATTAATGCTATACAAAATAGACTTTTGCAAAAGCATTATCAGATCTGGAGAAGGTGGTTACCTAATGATAAAGATGCTCGTTTCACCAAAAATGGATAATAATTCCAAGCAGTATCCATACAATTAAGCACTCTAGTTACACAGTCTAGAGAACCAGGACACTTTGGGGAGATGGGGTGGGCAGGAAAGGAAAGCTGACCCTCTCCACAGTAAGAACCTACTATGAAGAAATATGGAACCTTGGAGCACGGGCACAGGGACAAACACACTGACTGGTGGCAGAGTCCAGAAATCCCTGCGTGTGAGGAGCTCAGCTGTCTGCAGGGAACATGTGCAACATCTCTGAGGAAAGGAGGGGCTCACGGATACATGGACTCATGATAGGAAAGAGGTACAATTGGATCCCTTCCTGAAGCCTCGCATCACATGGACCCAGGCCATCTCCCTCTCCCCTTCCTTCTCCTTGGCTCTTCCTTTAGTCTCCACTTCCTTCTTCAGCATGGAGGAACTGCATGGTGGCTGAGGTCATACGACAGTAAACTAGAGCAGAGCGGCCAGATGAAGCCACAGGTCTGAGGCTCAGAAGATGTGAGTGGAGGCCGGGGGAGATGAACGTGCTGGGCACTGGGCCTTGCAGCAGAAAACACAAGCCAAAGAAGGGTGGCAAGGAGCAACTCAGAAACAAGGCCAGCTCTAAACGCGGGGACCAAAGACACGGCACAAATAAGAAGTCAATACAAGAACAAAACACATGGGTAATCCAGTGGGGGGAAGGAGACAGCGAGCCTGGTTAAAGACTGATCACACTGAGCAGATAAATAATATCCTGAGGATAATCAAAAGTCAAGATTTTCAATACATTTGTACATAAGAGCAGGAAAGGCTCAGTTCTTCGGTGGATACTGAAAGTGTAATTATAAACTCATAGTTTTATAATATATTTATACAGATGGTACAGATACAGACCCAGAGATGTGTGCATGGGTCCTGTGGATGTGTGCATGGGTGTGTACTTGTGTGTATTTTCCTGCCTCTGTCTTCCTAGAGAACTGAGTAGCAGTGGCACGGTCATCACAATAAGCACTACCAGGGATAGATTTTTGATTCTGAAACTGAAAGAAACCAGAGCTTTGGAGAAAAGACTGATTCTTGGGCTGGGTCAAGACAAGACAAGCGTTTTTGTGCAGAAAGTGAGAACTCTCAGAGTACAATCAGAATATACCGAAAGGACACCGAAATCAGCTTGAAGGACCTCCCACTGGCTAAACAGAGGAGTGTGAGCATCAAAATAATGATAAAAGCAGACTATACGACAGTTCATAACGTGCTCTTTCATTTTTCTTAAGATGTTACTTGAAAAAAAAAAAAAAGATGTTACTTGATAAACAAGTTTGCCATTTATCAAAGCCAAGTTTATCAATCTTTTCCAGTTCGCACATCTTATGCTTATTTAAGGTTTAAAAACCTTCCTCTGTGTGTTTCACTTAGTACTTTTAAGGTTTGATTTGGACAATTAGGTCTCTGTAGTTTGTTTTGCCAAAATGCCTGAGGCTGGCATAGCTTCATGAGAGAAGATTTTCCTTTTTGCACACAGTCTGGGAGGTCCCAAGTCAGGAGGTGGATCTGGGGGTGGCCTTCTTGCTGGGAGAAACCTGAGGGAGTGCAGGGCATCACATGGCAAGAGACAAGGCACACACGTGTGTCTAAATCCTCCCTCTCATTCTCTTCTTACACACTCGCCAGTACTGAGTCATGGAGGTACATGATAGCCTTATCTAACCCTAATCACCCCAAAGGCCCCTCCTCCAAATCAAAGCGGCGTTAAGTGACCACTCTCTTAGTACCTCACAATAGGCTAAATTTTAGTACACACTGAGAGATATACTCAAACTGCATCTAAACCATGCAACATCCTTAACCCACCTATAGTCAATTACAAAAAAAATAGACTTAAAAGTGAGTTAAACTTAAAGAGTGCCAGAATAATACAAGGAACTCAAGTGCATCTTCGCTTAGATATTCCCACACTATGACTGATTTACTATATGTATTCACCGCTGTTTATTTCTCATCAGAGCCATCGGAAAAGGTTCCGAACCCTTGAGAGCAAGCTACAGATGTGATGTCTCATCACCCCTAAATGTTGGCATATGCCAGACCCACACAAAGACACCCCTTCCATAATCAGCTTATAATTCTCCAATCAGAGGTTAAGATTGGTACAAAACTCATGCCTAAGTCACAGATTTTCCCTGCTGTCCCAACAATGTCCTTTCTGGTCCAGGATCTCATCTGGAAGGGAGCACAAGTTGCATCTGGTTGTTACATCTCTTCCAACAGAAGGATCTCAGATGCTCACTTTGTGATAAACCGAGGAGCTGCACATCCTGTGTGTATATTCACTAATAAACATTCACTTTTTAAAAGAAAGTTAATCACATTCATGTATTTCAAACACAGCATTTGCTTCCAAAATTCAAATTTCTGCATTAAAACCATTTTTTCAGCCAGCCATAGATTTGTAGCGTGGAGATTTCACCTAATTCTGGAAAGAGTCTCATTACCCAAGAGTGGAAAACTCACAGATGCAAAGGTAAATATAGGCAGGCCTCCCAAACTGGGTTTTGATGGAGAATTCCACCCATGTATTGACATAAAACTCCATCCCTCTCAATGTATATGATTGTTTAAACGAGCTGCACGTTTATATCCATATTTTGATTAAAGGTTTTAGTTAAAGGTAAAAACTGACAGACTGCACCTATGAGAAAGAGACAGTGCTGGAGTAACCCATTCTAATAGAGAAATGGGGTTTTCCCCGACCTAGAAAACAGAAATGAAATTTGCTAGTGGCCCTAGCAATTGCTGGCAAATAATTTCCACGAGATGCTTTTTGAGAAGACCGTTTCAGAGAAATCTATTTATGATGGACTGACAGAGGGAACTGGAGAATCAGCTGGCTCACTTCTCAGCCAAACTGGGACTGTGGGGAGCTAAGCTGAGAAACGAAGCTGGTGCCAACCAGGCTTCCAACCAGGCAGGGCCTCCTTCTGGCAGCTTTAAAGTAAGGAGTTTTGCCTTAAGCACGCAAATCTACTTTAGGGGTTCCTTTGGCTCAGTTCAATATGCAGACCCCTCTTTTTTTCTCCTTGAATTGTATTTCATTTAACTTTAAATGAAATTGCTTGACAAAAAGAAATGAGCCCTTTGTAAGAAGTTGGCTTATGCTGCCCTTCTTGCATGGACTTTATTCTTTGGGCTACACGTTTCCATTTCTAAACCCACCCACAGTATTTTAGAAAAGCCAGGTTCACAAAATTTCAAAGCAGAAAACAGCCTTGGAGATCCATCATCAGTCCAGTCCTGTTTATTTTTCAGATTAAGAAACTAACTCAGAGGGGCTGGGGATTTAGCTCAGCGGCATAAGAGCCTGCCTTGCAAGCAGGCAGTCGTGAGTTCGATCCCTGGTACCGATAAAAAGGGGGAAAAAAAAAAAAAACTAACTCAGAGATGTGCGGGCCAGCGAGAATATCTGAACCCAGATGTGTCAGGACCCCGACTCCAGTTACTCTGCCTCCTTCACTTCATTCCCGGTGAGCTGTTTCCTCAAATACAGCAATGGATGGGTTTTCAGCCTAATCAAAGAGGAGGGTTCTCCACGGCCAGATGCCCACATGCATGCTACCCCTTCTTCGTGGCACGCACTGCAACCTCGGGTTGCATTTCCCTTTATTTAAGGACTGCAAAGAGCCAGGTCTGCTTGGAGCCTCCGCTGCAGAACGACCTGTAATTTAAAAGATAAGAAATTATAAAAACATAAAGTCAGCATCTGCTTTCAGCTCCACTGCCCAAATTCATTTTGGGGCAGCCACAATTCAGCCCGCCTCTCACTTCTTCACTTTGCAACAGGCCCGTTCCAGCGAGGGGGAGGCAGAGGCGGGAAGTGGAGAGCAGCGCAGCGCAGGGGTCCCCGCCGCCCCGCAGGGCCGGGTCGGGGGCGCGCGCGGGGGCCGCAGCAGCTGCTCGCCCGCACCCCGCTTCGCTTGGCTTTATTTAGCCTTTCAGTCCTGACTCCTCCCAGCCCCCTAAATCTTCAAGTTCGTGCCGGCAGAGGACAGGGTGGGAGGACCCCAGGCCGCCTCAGAAAACGTTTGGGAAGACACCAGGTGGGCGAGCAGGAGGAAGCCAAGGACGTTGAGGGCAAAACATTTGCAGCCGCGCGCTAGCAGCGCGGGACTCAGCTCCCAGCCCGCACCTGGAAAAGTGGGGGCGCGGAGAGCCGGGGCGGGGCCGGGGGCGGGGCCGGGACGCCCTGAAGCCCCACCCCTCGTACCAACCACCCGCGCTGCCATTGGACGGCTCCGGGGGCGGGTCCCGGGGCCGCCTCCCTCTCGCCACCAGTTCCCCGCCCCGCCCCCTGCCCGCCCACCCCATCCAGAGCGCGCGGATTGGAAACACCGGAGCCTCCACGCTGCCCCTGGACGCCGGCCAGGCGAGCCCCCTGCCGCCCCGCCCCTGCAGGTGACGTCACCAGGGGCGAGGCGGCGGGGCTCCGCCCCCGGAGCCCAAACTGTCACTCGAGGGTTTGCAGTTCCCGCAGGACGCGGACCAGGGACACCCCAGGGCAGGCGCCTCTCGTCACAGAGTGCTGCACCCCGAGGGACCCCTCGACCCTCGTCCTTGACAGCCTGCCCCAGTCCGGTTTTGCGCCGTTCTCTCCTTTTCTCTGTGCATGGCTCCCCAAATGACTGTCCGGAGACGCCAAGCCGGGCGCACGAGGGGCGCGCTGCCTGGAGAGGCCAATTTAATGCCATCGCTCCTTAACCCGTTTGCATTTTTGCTGCTTATTGGAAGTCCTGGCCGTCTCTTGTGTGCTCTTGGAAGATACATGGGGAGATCGTTTTGTTTTTACTGTATTTTCTCCTCACGCGCTTAAGGAATAAACTTGTGTAGTGCTTACCTTGGTATTTGATTAAAGACGCTAGAATCTAGGACTTGAGAAACAAGGCAAGCAGAAAAAGGACAGAAAAACAAAGCTCGAGGGCGTCTTAGAAAGGAAGCAGCCTCGTTTATTTTTCATTGTTAACAAAGCGCTCTTCCTTAGCACTTTGCACGTTTCCCAAAAGCAGCTGCAGGCGCATTTGGTTACCGAGTCACCTGCGACTCCATAGGATCTGTGCCCCATCATCAAAAGACACTGTAGGTGTGTGTGGGTGCGGGTGCGCGTGTGCGTACGTGATGTACGTGTGTGCGTGTGTGTACGTGTGAGTACGGCCCCGCAACCCCCAAGAGGTGCAGCAAGATCAGAAAGCAGTCTGCACGCACGCTAGCGTTTTGCCTCGGAAATTTCCAAGGCTCTGGGAGTTTGTAAATCACCAGTCTCTGAAAATTGTCTCTGCAGAGGCTCCCTGTCTGTCTCTCTGACCTCCCAAATAAGTGTCGCTGCGCCTTGGGAAGCGGCCTCTGGCCCGCGCGGGGCGCCCCGTGGGGGTGAACTTCACCGTGGGCCGCGATGCACATTTTGAGGACCTCACGTGCGCGCGGACCCAGCCCCCGGGCTCGGCGCCGTGTGTCCCGGCGGGCGCGGGGCTCTGGGCTGGCGATGCTCGTTGTGAGCGTGAGCGCAAGCCGGGGCGCCGCAGTGGGTTCACGCGCCTGGAGCTGCACCCCGAGCTCCGTCGCTGGGCTAGAGAAAAAGAGGATGGGCCAGTGCAGGGGGCTGGCGGCCAACAGGGTCTGAATTCAGAGTTGGCTCGGCCGTCTTCCCTCTCCGGCTCCCGCTCTTTCCAGCCTCGCCGCAGCATAGGAAAAGGGGCTGGCTTCGCCGCCTCGGTGCGGCCGGAGGAGGGGGAGCAGGTTGGAACAATCAAGTGGGCGCGCCAGGACTCCCCGGCTCCGGGCGTGGAGGGGAGGGGAGCCCCGGTTCTGCGCAGGGAGGGGGAGGTTTGGGGGCCTCCAGGAACGTGGAGGAGGCGGGGGTGGCTGCGGGGATTAAGAAGTGGTCACCCCCCTCTGGCGAGGTTTCGTTCGGATCGCACATTAATTGGCGATATCTGATTAATTCCAGCTTCTGATTACTATAAATGGCGATTCTGTACCAAGGTGTCTATATTAAAAAAAATCATTCCGTGTCATCCCCCACGTCAGGCCTGCTCGTGGGCGTGAGGCTGTACTTCCTCCGCCCCCTCCTAATGGAGTGAACCATTCCCAGCTCTTCCCCCCGCTCGCTCTCTCTCTCTCAGCCTCTCTCTCTGTCTCTTCCTCGGTCCCTCTCTTTCTCTCCTCCCTCTGCCTTCCCGTGCACAAAGTCTCCGCCGCTCCCGGAACTTGTTGGCAATGCCTATTTTTCAGCTTTCCCCCGCGTTCTCTAAACTAACTATTTAAAGGTCTGCGGTCGCAAATGGTTTGAGTAAACATAGGATGGGACTTAAGTTGAACGGCAGATACATTTCACTGATCCTCGCGGTGCAAATAGGTAAGTGCTGCCCGGGCCAGCTCTGAAGCCGGCCAGCCCCGGCCCAAGGCGCGGAGGGGGACGGGCTGGGCCGCGGCCGCCCGGGGTGCGGAGAGCCCCGCAAAGCCCCGAGGTGGGGGCACCAGCGCCTGGAGACCGGGCGTCCCGGTTAGGCTTTTCTTGAAAGAGACAGAGAGAGGCTTCAAACGTTCTCCAGGAAATGTGTGCCACCGGCCTTTTTCCAGAGGGGGTTTCCCCTACCCATTTTCTTGCCCCCCAAAGCGCACATCCATTTTTTGGTCCTCTTTCTGGGGTTTGACCAGGTTCGGTGCGCTCGGGGCAATGCTGTGGTCCCTGAGATCCTGCAAGATCCTATTTGGAAGGATGGAAAGGTGGATGCAGGAACAAGATGGCTAGGCTGCCGAGCCTGGAAAGTTTATGTGCAGACGGCGCTGGCAGCCCAGGGCTCCGCTCGAACTGCTGCATGTAGAACTTTGTCATTCTCCCGCCCCTCCCCCCAGGTCCTAGCTGCAGCGCTTGCCCGGGGCGGGCGCCGCAGACCCGGCTGGGGGGCAAATCAAGGATGGTGGGGAACCCCAAACTACGGATTTTATTTTGCTTACCACTGAGGAGGATGCACTTAGCCCAGTATACATGCATGTACCTTTTTAGGGACCTTTGCCTACTACTTTACACCTCGAAGTCTGTATTTTTATATTTAGAAAGGGGTTAAGGAATACTTGCTGTATCGTCCCGGAGGCTGTTGTTTTTATTTGTCTGGCGTTGATTACGGGCGATGTTTTTAGTCCTTCTGTTATGTTAAGGAATGCAGAGTTACACCGTCAGGGGGATTTTTAAAGTTCAAGTTTTAACACCACCACCACCACCCCCGCACCAGAATGCAGACAACCTTGTGGTTTCTATGCACTAGAAAAATCCCTTCTCTGATGGAGGGTCAGAACATTAATTAACATGGCCTAAAAGTGAAAGGGACGCGGGTTATTAATAGAATAGACGAGAGAAAAAATAGAAACTCTTCAATGGGCTTTGTGAAGACAGAGGGAATTGTCACCGCTTGTGATTGTATGCGGTAGCTTTTTGGGACAAACCCTTGCGGTAAGCCGGGGGGGGGGGGGCAGCTTTAGAGAACTGATTTGGGGCAAAAGATAAAATGCTAACATTTTTTGTTTCCTGAGAAATGTGAAAGGAAACCAGGTTGGGGTTCTCCGGCCATGAAAAGGGATTCTTTGTAGTAGGGTTTTGATGCATTACGCAAGGTTTTGAAGTTTTATTTTGCGTTGGTTTGTTTTGTTGCAGAAACGTTATAGGGATTTTAGAGTGTGTGGATTCAAGATGTGCAGGGGACCACACAGATGTTAGTGTTCCCCATAATTCTAAGGAAGGACTTTCAGCCTGGCTGTTTTGCATCTTTGATATTAGTTCAAAGAGCTGCAATGAAGAAAGAACATCTCTAGTGACAGCAGAACGCTGGAGAATGATCGGATGTGGCCTTCTACGGTTAGCCTTCGGATTTTTAGTGAGCAGGAAACAGCAGTTGTCTTTGGGACCAGATTTTCAGTCCGAGGAAGGTTTAGGGTGATGTTGTCCGGGTGGGAAATAACCTTACTCTGAGAAGAAGGGAAAAAAGAAACAAAAATCGGCTGTGCTTGAGGACGCGTTTTTGAACACGCTAATCTCAGCCGGAAAAATGACCATTTATTTGTTGGCTGTGGCATTGAAATCGAGCGTGTTCCTTCCCGAATGTCTGCCCTTCCCCGCAGCAGCGCCTCAGTCTTTATTAATTCATGGCTGGGAGCTGTCCCGAATCACTGACATTTGGCAAGAAAAGTGGGGGCGGGGAGGTAGTGGTGAACCAGTGAAGAGGTGGCGGGTAGAAGTTTGGAATGAATGAGAGGTCGAACGAATGAATGAACGATTGGAAACCACAAAGAGAGGACAGAGAAGGAGCCCTGGGTCGCCTGCCCGAGCCCTGGAAAAACCGTGCGGGGCACGCAGGCTGTGACCCGCCTGAGGGTGCGTCTGCAAAATGCGTCCCGCGCGAGGCTCGGCCTTCCAGCGCAGTCAGGCTGCACAGTGGCAAAGCACAGATATTTTCACGACTTCTCATTTTACACACGCACACACTCACACATGCGCGGTGTGCGGCGCCTGGAAAGATAACGTGGCAGGCGCGCTTCCCGTTCCCAGCGAGCAACCACTTCCTTTTGAAAAAAAAATTACCAGCGCTTCTTAGGGGCTTCTCTTTGGACAGCGAGTGAGGGGAGTGGAAGTGAAGGGTGAGGAGAAGCCGGGAGAGGGGAGGGTGGTCTGTGTCTTGTCTGTCCCTTGCAAAGCTGTATTTGTGACACGCATTACAGAGGAAGGTGTGCAGGGTTTGTGTCAAGGCGGCAGAGTTCCATCAGGACAAAGATGCTCTTGCCCATGAGATTCCGGCTCAGCCTTCGATGTGTTATTGTTGTAGTAGCATGGGTATTAAATTGGGGTCGGGGGTAAGAGAAAATAGGAGACTTAGGAAGATCCCTGCCCCAGCTTAGGGCGAAATTAACCTTGGTCCCTTCCCCAGCGTTTCCCGTTCCGGATTAGAAAGCGCAAGGCCCGCCCGTGGCTTCCTGCAGCAGCAGTCTGCAAGCCGCACGGCGGGCCCTCCTAGGCTGCTGCAGCTCGGTCACCTTCCCGCTCCGGCGCTCGGCCCTAAGGCTGCGTGGGGATTGGGGGGTAAGGTGCACAGTCCCCCGGGATACATTCACGCCCCAGTGGTGGCCTCCGGAACACTGCCCGGGAAGCGACCTGCATTCCAGTCCTGGGAGTTGGAGGCAGATTTAGATTGATTCTGAGATTCACCTCCCCCGAGAGCGCAGGTGCGCGTTTCTCTAGCACCCTTGGTGCCCGAGGTGTTTGGGAGGCACCGGGTGCCCAGCTTCTGTCGGGTTCTTGGCCTCAGGGTGGAAAGAAAAGGCCACTGCAGTGCGCTCTGGGCCTGGACCTCTCTCTCCAGCCTGGAGCCTCGGGGACTGACCGACTTGAGGCCCTCAGTGCGGCCTGCGTGTTGTCCTGCTCCTCCCGGCTCTCATAAGGTCTGCTCGGCAGCCCTTCTCCCGGAGGGAGCTCGGAGCTGGAGCAGGAGCCCAGGGCGGCTGCGCGCTCTGCGCTCCGAGAGCCGGCTGGGGCTTGGCAAGGCAGGATCTGATCGGCTTTTGTGATGGGTAGCTGCGGCCTTTCCTAGGATTTGGTGCAGAGGCTGGCGCCGCCAGACACAGGCAGAGGAAAGCAGGGGCCCCGAGGCTCGTGGGGGTGACCCAGAGTTACCCAGTGGACACATCTGTGATCTCGCCCTCCTGTTGTCCCCTGACCTTCAGGGACCAATTTTCACCACCACCACCCCTAGTTCGCCGGTTCCTAGAGCCTCCCGTGGAACAGACCCCGCGGGCCGCACACAGTGGGTTTGAGAATGAAACAGTGTCTCGGCGACCGCTGGTGGCTTTGAGTCTTTATTCTCTGGGTAGCGCTGCCGAGCCCAGATCCGGACACGTGAGGGTTTCGTGCGCGTAGTGGTGTTGGATTCAGCTGCGCAACCCCGAGCCCGGCCTTCTCGCCACGCTGTCCCTGCCCCGCACTCCACGGCCGAGCCCCCACCCTCCATTTGTCACCTCAGAAATGGAAGATTGCGCGGAGAGAGAGGCGTGACTGGGCTTGCTGGGGAGTGTTGGGAGACGAAGGAGGCAGTGAGGGAAAGAAATAAAGAAGATGAGGGAGGTGAGAAGAGGGGGCGTTGGAAACAGAAAAAGATACAGCGTGCACTTCGGGAGCGAGCTGGGGAGCGGACTGAACTCATCTCTCCCACCCACGGCCTCTGGCACCCAAATAATTACACCGGTCAGTCCCAGGCCACCTCTGCAGTTCACCTGTTCACCTTCATCCCTGCCCCGCAGCAGGAGGCGTGGTGGGAGGGCCAGGGACGAGGCGGGCCCACGAGCTGCTGACCTGTGTCCCCTCCTCCCCGCAGCGTACCTGGTGCAGGCCGTGAGAGCAGCAGGCAAGTGCGATGCGGTCTTTAAGGGCTTTTCAGACTGTTTGCTCAAGCTGGGCGACAGCATGGCCAACTACCCGCAGGGCCTGGATGACAAGACGAACATCAAGACCGTGTGCACGTAAGTGTGCCCTCTGGGGTGCCGGGTTTCTCTTCAGGGGACGCTGAGTTCGTGACTACCATGACTCCCCACATTCTGCAAATGCGCAACTCTCCCTTCTGGCTCCTACTCCAAGGCCCCGTGTTACCTGTGGAAGGGGACTCACAGCTTGCATGAGCTAAGGGGGTCAGCCTCCTGCAGGGGGCTCAGCACAGCCCTCTGAGGCCTCACAAGCTGGCACAGAAATGCATGCCCCACTGCACTGGAACCCAGGGCACTGGCCAGGGAACCCTGCTAACAGTTTTTGCTTCTGCAAAATCTGTGCTTTGAGGCAGTCTCCATTCTGCCCTTTTATGAATGAATGACCCATCCAGTAATCTCTGAACAGTTGTTTTTTGTTGGCGGATAAGTCCCCTGCCTGTTCTGTCCCTGTCCAGTGATGCAATGTCCCCTCTGATACACAACAGGAAAAGGCAGATGGGGCGGGGGCGTGAGTATCTCTTTCTGTCCCTAGGAGAAAGGCTGAAACAATATTTTATTGTGTGCCAAGGATCTGGAACTCCAGTGTCCAAGGCATCGGTAGCCTACTTGGATTGAGTAGCCACAGTCTCTCCTTCCCTTCCCTGTCCTTCCTGGCATCTCCATGGTCTTCTGGATCAGGACAGCTGCAGGGCCAAAGAGAAGAAGGAATTGATGGCCAGGCCCAGTGGTGTTTTCTCGGAGATGAGCTAGAAAGCCTTTTCCCACTAGCTAGTGAATGAAGTGACCAGCAAAGCCCTACTGTGGTGGACCTGTGCCACTTTGCCTGCTGCAGGTCTTAGCAAGACTCTCCTCCTCTATTTTTTAAAAGTATTTTTATTATTTTTCAAAAAGTCATATCCCCCCCCCACCAAGCCCATTTCTATAAAGCCAAACCGAGAGGGGTTCCTCCTCCCCAGAGGTTGCAATTGACCTCTCTTTGCTTTTTGGTATAAAAAAAAAAGGGCATTCATTTAAATGATGACTGACCAGGGGTCAGTCTTGCTGGGCACAGTTCTAAATACCACAGTATCCATTAGGAGCTGGTACTTCTCTATCAGGAAAATGACAAAGGCATTTAAATCCAAGTGTCTGATCATAGATTAAATCTATAAAGCAAGATTGGTTACAAATAGAGCATCTCCCATATTCTCTGTCATTTATTAGAGCAAAGTGAGTTTAATTTTTTTTAATTAAAGCAAGATTTGGTCCTGGAAAACAGGGGGATGAGGAGCCCCCTTCCCTGGAGTCTGAAGCTGCAGCCTGGTCCAGGCCCCAAGCTTGGTGGTGCTGATTGCCCCACACCAGGATGCTGCCCACCTCTCTCAGTCCCAGATGGACGCCTGTTCCCCACCACAGCCTTCTTCCTGGAGGACTTGCTCCCCCTCTAGGGGACAAAGAAAGCAATTTAGATAGCCTTTGGGAGGTGCAGTTGGATAGAAGCGCCTCAGGGCACTGTCCCCTGGGCCTCTGGGTGTTTGTAAATCTTGCTATTTATTATAAATTGTGGGATCTTGAAACTCCTGTGCCCAACCCCCTAACACCCAGTTTACAGAAGACAACCTGAGTTCAACACAGGCTCACAGCTTCACTATCCTCCAAGATGGGGTGGGAGTGGACAGAGGTCGATGCCAAGCCCAGCGCCTGCCCTCAACATAGGCACAGTCCTGTGAGCAGCAGGCGGTGCCCTGGCGCTCGGCGGGAGACACACAGATCGACCCAGCTCCAAAGGAGACGGAGCCCCAGGAATCGATCACCGCCTGGGATTATATTTAGTCTTGAGATCTATTTTGAGTTTTCAGAAGAAAGGGGGACAATGAGAAACAAAGGACAGGTTGGATGAAGGTTGGTTGTGGGGGCAGGAATGGGAACTAAGCTTGGGAGAAAGAAGTGGCCGTTATATGCAGGGGTCTGGGAGCTGACTCGAAGGGGAGGACCCACGACAGTGGACACCACTCCTACCCTGGAGTCCCGGCTGGGGCAGTGGATGCTACACCCTGAAGGCACTGAGGAAGAGCACCTCCACCCCCACCCCGGGGTTCAAATCCATAAAAAGCCAGGGGAGGTGGGCTGAGTTCACACGCGTGGCTCAGGCAGGCCTGCAGCCCTGGGATTCGCAGGAGCCCAGAAGGCTGCAGAGCAGGTCACAGGTTCGAGGGCACTGACACTCACCGACCCGGAGAAGGGCAGAGGCAGGCAGCGGTCTCCGGAGGGACAGAATCGGAACTGCGGCCAGGAGGGCGAGGCAGGAAGGCCTCGGAGGACCCCGGCAAGTGGAGAGGCGGGGAAGGAGGAAGTGAGACATGCAAGGGAGGGAAGGGAAAGGAAACAACAGGGAAACCAGGAGGAAGGAGAAACAAAAGGGCGCGCGAGGGTGGGTGGAGGGAGAGCAGGAGGGCGAAGGCGAGACGGCCCTGGCCAGCAGGGAGACAGAAGGGCCGAGGGGAGGAGAGAGTGCCAGCCAGGAGGGGCGGCCGCCCTCGGAGCAGGTTACCCAGCTTGCAGGCTAAGAGGCATTAATGGGCGGCAGCTTGCGAGGCTCAGCACTGTTTGCCGAGCTTTCCCTGAGGAGGGGGCGAGCTGTTGGCGCAGGCCGAGGTGCCAGCGCAGCGTGCGGCGCAGCCCAGCTGGCGGCTTCACGGTCCCCTCCTGGCACCGGAGAGGGAAAGCCAGACCCGGGAAAGGTGTGGGCGGCCCGCCCCTCCGACCGCACTTCTAGGGGGCGCCAGGGAGGGGATGGAGGCGAGGCAGGGGAGGGGTCCTCCCGCGCCCAAGTGAACATGCAAACATGCGTCTTGTGTTTTGTTCTGTTCCTCGCCAGATACTGGGAGGATTTCCACAGCTGCACGGTCACAGCCCTTACGGATTGCCAGGAAGGGGCGAAAGATATGTGGGATAAACTGAGAAAAGAATCCAAAAACCTCAACATCCAAGGCAGCTTATTCGAACTCTGCGGCAGCGGCAATGGGGCGGCGGGGCCGCTGCTCCCCGCGGTGCCCCTGCTCCTGGCGTCTCTCTCGGCAGCTTTAGCGACCTGGCTCCCCTTCTGAGCGCGGCCCGCTCCCCCCCGCGCGTGCGCGCGCGCGCCCACATTCACTCCATGCTCCCGAAAACCGAGAGGAAGATCCATTCGTTCTTTGGGGACGTTGTGATTCTCTGTGATGCTGAAAACACTCATATAGGATTGTGGGAAATCCTGGTTCTCCTTTTTTTTTTTTTTTTTTCCTTTCCCCCAAAATATTTTTGTTTGATTTTTTATTTTTTGGTGTGTTTTATTTGCCAAATGTTACCCATCAGTGATGGAGCAAGCAGAGCCAAAATCGGACCTCAGCTCTAGTCCGTCTTCACGCAAAAATAAGAAAACGGCAAACTTCACCCCCATTCTTTTTTTAATTTTGATTTTTTTTTATTTTGGCAAACGAATCTCAGGAATGGCCCTGGGCCACCTACTATATCAATCATGTTGATAACATGAAAAAAAAAAAAAAAAACCGAGGGGCTCCTCCTACTAGGAAAGCGAGGGAAGGCCAAGGCCAGGGGGGAACCAGCAGAGGCATCTGCGGGAAGCAGCCGGCGACAGCGCACACCCGCGTCTTTCTTCCACGGTACCTTCTTTTGATCATTTCCACTGCTCATTTCTCCTGGAGAAAAGCGAAAGGACACATTGCTGGCTTTGCGAGCTAAGGAAAGGAGGGAGAAGGCGGAGAGATGGAGGCCAAAGGTAGCCGAAGGAATGCTTCGAGGTCACTAGGGGTTAGCTTTACCTGCTCTGGTCCACGCATCGTTCACGTCCACTGCCTTTGTTTCCCCTCCTCTCTCTTGTGTTAGATGTTACACATACAGTAATACCCGAGTATCCGACGGTATAGCTCACCAGGGGGGGATGTTCAATGTTAGTCTCAAATATAGTTCAAAAAGATTTTGACATAAGAGCCTTGATTTTAAAACAAAAGAGAGAGATGTAATTTAAAAAGTTTATTATAAATTAAATTCAGCAAAAAAAGATTTGCTACAAAGTATAGAGAAGTATAAAATAAAAGTTATTGTTTGAAACGGGGGTGTCTTTTTCTTTCCTATCCGGATCCAAGGAGGTCTCAAGAGACACAGACACCAAGTGACAAAGTCACCAGATCACAAAGCCACTGGGTCAAGCAGAAGCTCCCACGTAGGCCGCTTTGCAAGGCTTCCAAATTCTTTTAACTGAAGAGGGGGGCAAAATGTTTTTAAATGATTTAATAAAAAAACAGAGGTCCTTTCTGGGCGGGGATCGGAGGAAAGCGCTTGTGCGCAGCGGAGCACGCGCGGGCGGCCAGCAGGGCACTGAGCAGCCCTCTGCCCCCGCCCCAGCTGGGTGCGGGCCTTGACCACCATTCGGTCCTCCTCTGCGGTGGCCCGGGCGGCTCGCAGGGAACCGCCATTAAGGGCGCAGCAGAGGGGCCGCAGGCTGCGCTCGGGCAGGGATCAGGTGAATCCTTTCATAATTAATAAGACGGCTCAGCTGAGAAGGCGAGGAGACCAGGCCCTATTGATCTGGCAGTCGAGCTGCTTCTACCTCTTCTATTTATGGGCCCCGCGTGGCCTTATGGAGACGTAAACATTGAAGAGTAAACCGGAGCAAAGGCGACCCAGGACCCGGTCTGCAGGAGTGGCCTAGGCTGGGGAAGGGCGGCCTCTGGGTTTCAGGGATTCGATGAAATCCACTTCAGATTTCTGTTGATAGTTGGGGTGGGAGGACTATAGGCCTCCCTCCACCCCCAGATCTCTGGGAGAGGGAGAAGGGAGAAGGGGGCCCCTGGAGACCGCGTGGGTCTCCACACCGCGGAGCTGCAGCCCGCCGCGGGGAGGGCGCGCCGGGCTCCGAAATGCAATGTGTAAACAACCGCTAGTGTAACAGTTCATAAATCAAACCCAGTGGGTCGCAGCCCAATCTGCATCCCCTCAAGGATTGGATTCCAGCAACACATGCGTCCCTGCGCCCCGAGCGCTGGAAACGCGCGGATTCTTAATGGCAGCGTAGATCACAGCCCGCGTCCACGCAGGCGCGCGGGCTCCCGGCGTCGTGACTGCCGCCCCCGCCCCCCGCTACCCCCCCTCCCCGGATCCCGGGTTCCCTGGCGAAACCAAAGGAGCTGCGGCTGCCCGCGCTAGCGGTCCCGCACCCCGAAGATTCGTTATTTCAGAAAATAGTTGGGTTGTGTTCGTTGCGATTCAATGGTTATTTTCGGTCTGAGTTTAAATGAAATAGGATGCTATTAACCTGAGCCCAACGCTTGGGGTTCAGATTTAAAAATCTGAGCCCCTGGTAGACAGGAATCTATTAATGAGGGGGGAGGGGAGAAGGAGGCGCAGGGAGGGTCTTCTCGGGGCTTTTCGCCGGGAGCGCGCGCGCAGCCTAAGTGTGCAAATCGGTGTCTTCTACTCTGCAAATGTGGGGGCGGGGGGGGGGGGGACCGTGCGCACCGCTGAGCCCCTTCCTTGCCGGAATAAAAAGCGCGGCGCGATCTCCTCCGGCTTTGAGCGAAGAAAGACACCCCTCTACTCCCAGCGCGGGCTACCTACCCAGAAACCAGATTCCTGGAAGGTCTAGACGGAGACCAGGCCGAGGGAGGGACAGAAGGGACCAGAGGGCAGGGAATCCGGGTTCTTTCGAGGCTCCTCCTGCGATACCAACTGCTTCCCGGGTGGGGCCGCCCAGTCAGGCGGGCGCCCTGAGCTGCTTCCTTCCACGCGCCCACCCCGCCCCGGCCCTGGTGCCCAGGAGTCTCCTAACCTCGGCGCGGGTTTTGGAGCTGCCTGGCCTTGTGCAGGGCCCGGGACCGCGCGCGCTTGGAGAGATCCCCTGGAACGCAGGGCGCGTTTGGGAAACCAGGCTCGTGTCTCGCTCATCAGAACATTTCTTCTTGGGGTGATTGTTAAGATTATTATCGCGCCGTCTTCGACTATAATTTGCTGTTTAATCATGATGACATCTCCATATGTTAATGGAAGTTACTGTTTTTAAGCAGCAATTCGGTAAGCCCTGTTGCCGGTTCTGGGAGGTGGCCTTACTTACCCAATGTCCCCTCGCCAAGGGGGGTCCAGGAATGGGTGTCTGGAGAGGAGGGCCTCACCATGCCACAGGTCCTCGGCCCCACGTAAGGGCTTGATCTCCCCTGTGCGCCGCCCACGGCTCCCCACGTGGCTTCAGGCCCTTGAGGCCCATGGGATGGGGAGGCCTCCTTCCCTCCTCCGCTCCCCACCAGACCGAGTGGATTCAGAACGTGGGGACCACTTGAGCTTGATGTCCAATGCTCCTCGAAGTGACAAGTGTCAGAGAGGTCAGTTTCAGAGCTCCGGTCTCTGAGAGACTCAGGGTGGGTGAAGGAGATAAAAGGGGAAAAAAAAAAAAAAAAAAAGACAGGAGCATGGAAATCGGGGGAGGGTGCTGCGAAAGACGGGAAAACTGATCCCGAATCAGATTTAGCAGAGAGAAGAGAGGCGATCCTGTGAAAAAGCAGGAATGGTGGGGAAACCTAAAGCGGAAGAAAGCATAGAAATAAAACCGGGACTTGGTTTTCATTCAGGGTGTAGTGAGCCAAATAAGCACAAGAACCTCCTACGCCAGTTTTTTCCTGCCTTTCCCCTTTCCCAGGCCAGGGCCTCAGAGGACCCAGCGCCTGGTACTGGGTGGGCCGAGGCAGCGCTGATCAGGCAGATGCAACAGCTAACCAGGCCCCTGACCGGATGGGTTGGGCCGTTAAGGAGCAGATTTCCCTTTTCCAAATCCCCCTCAAATCCCAGCAGAGCCTAGGGACTCCCCTCTTTCCTCTGCTGCCTTACACCAGGTTTCCAAGGCCTGGAGTCTGCCCTGCACCGGGGCTGGGCCCCTGCCACACCTAGCAAGGGAAATCTTCCCCCTCTTCCCAAGGGTAAAAACGAAGTGAGGGGCAGTTTGGGGATGAACAGTGAAGATAAGATCCTGGATTTACCGTGGGTCCTCAGCCCTTGACGCTGCAAACCTAGTGGAGGGAGTGTAGTGTGCTGTAGCCGCACACTTAGCCTCTCAAAGAAAACGCAGCAGAGAACCCCGTGGCCCTTCCTTGAGGTCCAAGCTTGGGCCAAAGCTCAATTAAGGAATCCCTCGGGGCGTCTTACTCTGGCAATGCCTGCTGTGCGCCTGCGCCGGAGGGAATACCTCTAGGGAGGTATCCAATCTTTCCAACCTGTCCAAATTGGGATCCAGCCTTTCCAGGATATGGCCTCTGGTGCAGCATCCAGGAGCAGGGTTCCCATCCCAAATCGCTCCTTAACAGCCAGGTAACTATGGGAGCGGTACTGAGCCTCGGTGCCCTGGGCATGATCCTGCCTACCCTATGGGTTTGTGCTTGTGTCCAGTGAGCTGGTGTAAAAGCAATAACACGCTAGTTCCCTAGTGCTAAGTATGACTGCTCTCTTCCTGTTTGAAAGTTGGCTTAATCAGGTGGGTCTCACTGAAGTCTTCAAAGTAACCTAGAGTAGAAAACCTCCTTCTGACGGTGGGGGAGGCTTTCTTTAGAGTGCAGCAGTGTAAAGTCCACTTGCTACAATCCCGCTCCTTGCCTGCCAAGGACAAACTCCAAGGACAAACTCCTTGAATTAAGCAAGCCCCAAACCACAATATCCCTGGAAGACTTGTCCTTTGGCCCCTGGCACAGACGCAGGGCGATCACCTCTCCAGCCCAGGTCCCTGGGTGCTCTCAGTGCTGGGTTCCTCCTGTAGCTTCTGCACAGAAGCTGCCTCCCCACTGTTTCCAGTCTTAATCCTCTTCCCACATTAAAAGTGCAGAAAAAAACAGAAGTAGTAGTTATTGTAACCAATGAAGAATTCAAAATACACAGAGGGGAAAAATTAATCTTCCCTTCATTAATGAATGTTAATATGCTGGTGAGTGTTCCACAGCTTTCCCCATGGGCCTGTGAACAGAGACTGACATGTACCCCTGGGGAGGCTGGGTTTGGATTTTTCATTAGGATGTGCATTTCTTGATGGCCAAATTCTTCAAGATGAAGAGCTAAGTAGATAACCCTTTTTTCTAAGCACTTACACAATATTCCTAGAGTGGCCATACCAACTTTATTTTAATTTCTTGCCTCTTGATAGTCAGACAGTTTTTCCCAAGGTTTTTCTTTTCTTTTTTCTTTTTCATGTTCTATAAATATTGTCACTCATATTCCTGATCTAACAGCATCTTGTACAATGATTTTTTATTTCTTCAATAAAACAGATTCCCCCAAAGTTGGGTTGCTGGACAGAAAGGTATGTGTGTGGGTTTTTAATATAAAAAGATATTGGATTATTCTCTCAAAGGATTTGGAATGCAGGTTTCTTTGTCTCCACCTCAGCATAATATATTGACACTTTTATCTTTGTCAACCCAGCAGGTGGCCTTGTGGTTTTCTGGAAAGCCCAGCTTTCCAAGCTCTGTGGATCCCTCAGACCCTGATGGCCACGACAGCACCCTGGTCCATGAGTGGGGTCAGTCTCCTTAGTTCTCCTTCCCAAAGGAGTGGTCTGGGCCCCATGATGGTGACGGATGACACCCACTCAAAGCCAGGAATAATTAATCTAGGAACACGCTGGCTCTCCAGTGCTAACCTCATCAGCATGCTTGGGAAGTTAAAGGCTTGGGGCGGGATTGGTGGTGGAGGTGAGGCTTCCTGAAGTGCCCCCATGGCACCTGTGGCTTCCGTAGAGCACTTAGGTACCCCGTGCCAGCTGGGTTATCCCTGCTGAGGCTGCTGTGCCCTGGCTGTCCACAGTGGAAGGCACCTGATGGAAGGAGGCAGCACAGGGAAGGGGAACAGCAGCAAGGATGACAGCTGAATTTTTCTTTGCTCTGCCCAGTGAGACCAAGAGGCTTCTATGGGTGGGATCCAACCAAGAGGGGAAGAAAGCTGGCTGAACCATGTATGGAGGCTTAGGTGTGCACAGATCAAGATGCTGCTCTGAAGCCAGAATGGTGGTGCATGTGTAATCCCAGCACTTGGGAGGCTGAGGCAGGAGGATCCTGAAAGTATGAGGCCAACCTGGGCTA